AGTTAATATTACTATACAACGCTGTGTGATTTATCAAAATAAAATCTTATCTGTAATGGAGTTATACTGGACCACAGTGCTCAAGTTTTATACTTATATCACTAACGAGTTCTTTTATTTATTTACCATATACTTTGGCTACAAGTGGAACTTACGGCTTCCACAACACATCTTCATTTAATCCTGTTCTCTGCGTCCTTCACTTGACGTCGCCTGGTTTATTAGTTTACCAGCTTACTAGGAGGTACTAATTCCGGGAAAAGATGAAGGTTGGGAATAAGGATAACTACTCTAGCGTGGAAAATCAGACCAAATCACTATCATAACTTCAAAGCATACTATCGAATACGAATCTTATATCTGAATCAGACAGTGATTGTAATGTCAATCATTTATTTCCAATAAAGATATAAAAATATTTCCATGGGTGATCTAGAATAACTACCTGACTGCAATAGTTCAGATATATGGTACATGTGTGTTTCAACTAACTGGAAACTGCAGATTTCCATCAACACACATGTCTTCTCTGTCTCGATTCTGAACCTTAGATGACAGGCTAAAAGTGTTAAAGGTGAAACAAGGAAGCCTTGTGATAACCGAAAAACAGGCAGAAAGAAACGGGGATGAATTGATTGGACATATTCAAATGGCACCATACATCAGGAAGTCACTTTCCGAGTGGAACTCGAGTTGAGCGTCTTTCCAAACTTGAAGTGAAGGTGATCATGTGAGAAGGAAGTGTAAGTTTGTTCACGGTCGTGGAGCCACATGGAAGTGATAACAGAGAATTGAATTGGAATGGATGTGTTACTGAAGCCCTATGTTCCTGGCCTGCAACTGTTCGTTGCTGTTGACCCATGACCCCACCTGAGAAACGCCATCCGTACAGCTATTTTGCAATTAATGACGTGTCCAGTATCGAGGAAACCTCTACCACCAGCACTGCCAGGTAGTCTTGTATCTAATGACAATCATGCATGGAATATGTTCCGAAATTACTTTAGCAGGGCCCCTCTCTGTCTTGTTATACTGCAACTTAAGCTAAACCGAAATGAATGTGATAGGATGATGTGTGAGGGGTTCTCAAATTCAGATTTGTATACCTAGTAATGTTTTCGTGTGATAGACTCCTAATAATACTGATAGTGCTACTGCACTGCTATTACTACTATTAGTTTGACAGTAGAACACATATATTTATTGCGTAGTTATTTTGTCAACTCCTTTCATTTCCTTAAAGTGTCCAGTCAAAGAATGTACATGGGTAAATTTGAAAAAATTGGAGGATTTGGGAACTGACGTGGTCCAGAAACTGGGTGAAAGGGAACATGGAATATCTATATTCTAACCCAATTTGTCCTTTTTACCCCATCTTTTCCGAAAACTAATTACCTACTGCTACCTATTTTCCCAACGTTTTAAACGAAGAAATTACCTATTTTCACTCACGTCACTCATGTCATTTGCAGGAATGTACCCGCCTAGCCTAATTTTGAAATGAATGGTACTGAGTCTTTGTTTTGAAAGTCAGTCAGCCAGTCAGTCAGACCGAAATTTTAACCCACATTGCGCATGTTCATGAAAAAATTCGCCGACTTCGATGTTAGCATACGCAACAATGGCTTAGACAGACGACGGAAATAAACATTTATACGAAATTAATGAACAAGGGGATGTGTTCTCTGATATAATATATCCGGAATCCTCTTTTTCGTAGGTGTGTCTGAATGACACCCACACTTTACTATGTACGTGTCATCTGTTCACATGTCTTCATCACATAATAATAATACTTCATTGGTCAGTTGTTAGTGTCGTTGTTGGTTTTGCTGTTAGATAGGTGGACATTCGCTCTTGTTATTTCTTCCCATTGAAATTGGCAGTTAGTGTTTCTATTGCTACTGAAAGATTATTTGAGTAATAGTTCTTATTTCCAATCAAATTACCACGGTTGTACTAACGACTGTAACCATAAGTGAATTTAGTGATTTATGGGTTGAGCTGTTACCAGGGGAACGGCATTGTCAATTTATACGATATACAGATGATGATATCCTTCTGTAAGTCAATACCCCAGCAAAATACAGAGTTCTGATCAGAAACGTTTGTATGTTCGGCATGTAATTTGCTTCCCTGTCAAGTATAGGATGGTGCTGCATTAGTGTCCTCACTGGACTCTTAGTTTAAGGAGACTGAGCGAAGTAGTTGAGCTTGATGCATTGGAAACAAACTTAAATAACAGGATCTTCCTTATATTAATTGAGATGAAAACAGGGAAGGTGATAAGGTACAGTCGTCTCTTCCTATGAATTTATATCTTTGAATTCATGTTAACTGGTTAACAGGGAGTAAGCACGAGAGTCCCTCGACCTAGAAAGATTTTTTCATATTGACATTCATCTACAACGTTTATCTTCATCCTCTAAGAAATAGATGTTTTCTACAGTTTTGCAGACTAGTGCGTCCGTAGTCTGGTGCTGCAACACTCGCTAGCCGCGGTGCTGCTGGAGGTCCGAGTGCCATTCACCGACGATACACTTCTCAATCTCACTTAGTTTTATTAGCCGACAGTAAGCCCAGAAAAGAGATAAGAGAGCTACCCCACCCTTTAAAAATCAACGCTGTCGCCTCTTCCGAATATTTGCAAAAAATGACCTGGTGGCCGACGTTCCACCTAGAACTCAAACAAGTGACAAAAAGGTTCTGCGGTTAAAAAATTCATCTCTGAATTATTTGGGATCACAATTAACCCCATGTTAGACTACCACGAAAACAATGAGACGGAGAACAGGGATTTCTAGATTTTCTGAGCATATTCCTAGTGGTCTTTACATAAAAAGTACATAGGGGTTTTCTGAGGCAATTGTTACATACCCAAATGGCACTGAATACATACAGTTGGAATCGGTCAAGCTTTCAAATAATTCAATATACAGAGAAAATCTTGGTTAATTTGTTTCGCTTTACAGAAGCCAAACGATTTCATTTCAATCTGTGTATACAGAAATTGTGATTAGTCCTGCACTAGCCCCAGGTAACTAGATCTTCTTTTTCGGTTTGATCACGAAGTGACTTCACTCAAAGAACCATTGAAAACCAGAGAGTACTGGACAGCTGCTTTTGGTCCTAGTTTGGGACCGAAGGTCCTAGATTCGATTCTTAGTGAGTTCACCAGTGCGTACTGATGAGGAGTCTCAAAAGGAGCACGAAATAGTTGTCCAGTACTCCCTCATGGTTTTCAGTGGTTCGGTAACTAAACTCAGCTAATCATCAAACTTGAAATAAATAAAATCCCTTCAAATCAACACTTGGAAACTGCAGCAGATGGATTGCACAAAGACTGAAGAGGAGACATTCAAGTGCCATCACATGCGCCTGTATGTAGTCGTAGAGGCAAGTGAAAGTAATGACACAGGATCAAATGTAATAAAGATGTGTTGCTTCAGCCTTGTGTTCAACTAGGAACGCAAGGAATGAATGATAATAAAAGTAGTATTAAGAAACCAAGGAAACTCGGCATATGAGGTTGTCACTGTGATAGTATTCATTGTGGTTAATTATCAAATATTCAATGTAGACTGGTTATGTAGATATAATAGAGAAGATTTGTAGCTCAGGTGGATGATTTTGGTGTGGTTGTGTTCTCTGAGCTGGATGGTTTGGTTGCGAAGCTTTCATTGCTCTACTGAGCAACATCTTCAGCTCACTTCACATCGAAGTATGCGCTGAAGATGTTGCTCAATAGAGCAATGAAAGCTTCGCAACCAAACCATCCAGCTCAGAGAACACAACCACACCAAAAAGACTGGTTATGTTTGTGTCATTTTGATGCTGATGGCTTTGCGTGAAATCTAGAAGGCATATTTTATCCTATTTCAGGGATTCATCATCCAAATGCACCTGCCTTTCCAGTGATCAATAGTGCGTTCTCAGTCTGCAGCGATCCTTTCGGACGCTTCTAGATTATACGCATGTATGAAGTTTTCTTTTTAGACTAGAAGCAACCTGTGAAACCGAATTGAAATTGTAAGCCTCTGAGATGACAGTTATGCAATAGAGAAGGCGTTAATCAGATAGAAACTAAAATAAAATTCACTGAGTAGATTGAGTGACGACGTAGCGTAGTTGACAAGAGTGGGTAGGGGAGTTCATCTGAAATTGAAAATGGATCAAATTGAGGTATGATTATCCTAAGGAGTTGAAATGTAATGGTGGAATGGTAGGAAATAAATAAAATTAGGATTAACAAGAATTATATATATATCTGGTGTCAGAACACATAAGTTCATTGTAGATTGAGTGATTGAACAAACCTCTTCTGTATGCAGATTTTAGGATTAAACATGTAGACTGCTATGGTTCCTGAGGTTCTAAGAAATTTGATTCACACTCCTTTTAGAAAATTCTTATGTACTCTGTAGGTGACTCTGAAATCTTTTGTGGATTCGCTTAGTGTCCAGTGGGGATAAGGTGTTCCAGAATAGAGTTGAGGAGGGATTTTATTCTCCTTTGCAAAACCCTGAAGGTAAGTGTTCAGAGATATGTCTGGCTAGAAAACAATTTAGGTATATTTCAGCTATAGTTTTCAATACATGCGATTACACTCGACCATACAATAGAACGGGGTAAGATGACAGTTTTAAAATCTAATGTAACAAAGTGGAGGGAGCAGGATTGATAATGGAAGCTTTATTTATCGAGTCAACTGAAGAGAGTACTTGTAATAGGAATGATTCAACACCTGTCCAAACTGGATATCTGGAAAATTCTACTACCCCAATGACGACAAATAGGAGAGATCAAAGAAGACTATAGAATTGAAGTTTCGAAGTCGTGTGATCATAACTGATATGATTATGAACAATAATAAATTGTGTTTGAAACGTCATCCAGTAAATAATACTGTTTCACTGTGTGGAATTCCCGTGAAACATTCACTACTGATACAGTTTCTTTTCTTGTTTTTATATATCTTTGTTTGTCTGTTTTATTTCTAGAATACGGAAAATCTGTTAAACAGATTAAAAATTCAAAATTATTCACTTAGACAAGAAATTAAAACAAGCATTCAAAGCCACATGAGTACAATTCTTACTCGACACATGGATCAGATTAAGCTACATTTTTTTCAAACAAATCAAAAAATCGATGCACAGTTACATCAACTCTGCGCATTAAAACAATATCTTAATGAGAATAAAGTAATTCATTGTTGTTGTTTGTGTTTTTTTTTTCACTTGAAACTTTTTGTTTTAATTGTTTCTGTTTTATTTTTGGTTTATGATTTACAAAACATATCGATTTCTTTCAGTGTAGATTTTGTTGCCACTTTTAGGCAGCTGTTTCGTCCTTCTCGTAGTCTTTGGGACTCTTCAGTAGTGTACAACCATGACCGCACCACTAGGGGACTTCAGGTTATACAAGTTCAAGCTTAGCAGGACATAAGTGACCCGTTAAATTGCAACTTTTGTCCATCCTCGACATATAGCACTACGAACACCAACCAGTACTGTCGACAAGCGTCCGCTTCACTTTGATCCCACTGGCAAAACGATGATAGGAACAACCTATACAGACAGTTTTTCCAGTTATGTTAAGTGAATGAAAATATCCTATCAGCCCTGGAGTAAATAAGACAATATTGAGCGAAGAAGCTTTTTTTCGCTTTATTAACGAAGTTATCTCCGAATGATGTATAATTGTGTTTAATTGTATTTACTAAAAACGTATATCGCACAGTGAATGCTATAGTAATAAATAACTTGATAACATTTCAAGCACAATTTTCTGATACCTATACCCATATAAATGCGTATTCAAATACTACTTGCTAACCTGCTTTCTATGACCTTACTCGATGATGCTTAATATTACAAATTCCCATTTATCCCAGATAAGTAAGGAGTCATTTACATATAGGACCTTTTTCGTAGTGATTCAATGAAAAGAGGCTCGATGATCAACCTTTCTTATTCTTCAGCTGCCTACATTACTTTTTAATACTCTACCCTATCCACTTCAGATGCCCTGTCTCTAATGTCACATAAACTTGAAGATCTAAAGGCGAAAACTATCAAGTTGGCAGAAAAGGCAGGCTGTGAAGACAGGAATATAACGGAGACAGAGGTGATGAAGATACCTAACAAGCAGTTGCCAGCATAAGTTATCATTAAAGGGAGAAATGTAAACGAGGTCACCTCTCTTACCTACCTACTGAGCTGGGCAGCAGCGTTTCAATTACAGGTGGTACAGGTACGGATGAGGACATCAAATGGCAGGAGTAGAAAAACATGAGAGGCGTTCATTACTCTGAAATCAATGTGGAAATCTACTGCACCCAACAGGAGGAAAAAGATAAAAATTTCACTTAACACTGATGTCAAGTCAGCCATTGCTTCTACACAGTTCAGAGACTTAGCACAGGCTTGCCATGAAAAGTATTTTAAACAAGGTATGGTAGACTTTCAGCAACATCTGACTTAGTTCGGTGCTGAAGAAAGGATGGCCAGTCAGAAAGGATTAAGGACAAGGAACTCTGAGAAAGAACCAAACAAGAACCTTTTGTCCAAAGAAAATACAGAAAGAAATGAAGGTGGATTGAACATACTGTGAGACATCACAAGCCAAGTGGGCTGTCAACAGGGACCTAAATGTAAAACAATTAGTTCCCTTTATGAATTTCAACAAAACAATAAGAAGTCGTAGTTTATCTGAAACGTGTTATGTATTTGTGCAACACATTTCAGACGCTCTGATCACACACGTACTTTTCATCGAGAAAACGGGATATGTGCTGTCCTATAAACCCTCACAAAATCCGAACGATAGTGTCACACAAATTGTGTCTATCAATTTACATGTGTGTGTCTTGATACACGTACATAGGGAGGACCCGTAAGTCTCTTCAGCCTAGGGCTACAGAACACATTCCAAACAGGCTGCGACAACAGATAAAATCACCAGATGCAGCTGATCCTTCAAACAGATGTTCAATATCATCTATTGTGAAGCACATCATAAAGATGGGTCAGAAGGTTCGTCTCAATAATTCCTTTAAACGCATATATAAAACAGGGTTGGGTCATATGCTTAAATTCGATGAAGCCTTAACCATAAAAATGTTTAAACCTGTCTTATGTGTCCAAAACGTATTTTTCACCACTTTGAACTTGCCTCTGTAATTCAATTTAGAACCAAAGTTCTCCTTTTTTTCTCACCCCACACCCTTATGTCATCTTTCTACTCCTTGTTTTTGGTCTTAGCCTGTAGACAATTTGACCTGCATTGTAATATTTCATGCTCTCTTGCCTTCCATATAAGTGTGTATGACGAGTACGTGTGCAATCACAGAGTCCGAAATGTATTGCGCAAATACATTACATGCTTCAGATAAACAACGTCTTCTTATTGTTTTTCCGGAACCGAAATGTAAAACGACGATTTGGGAGTAGGTCGAGAGTGAAATGGAGGAGATCGGCTGAAGAGAATGAAATGAAAGCTTGTGGCGAATCGTGCAGCCAGCCAAGAAGGACTGCAGAAAACAAGAAAAACTAGAAATGTGCTGATGAAGTCCTATTGTAACAATAGAAGGCAAGACACGGAAGCCAACGTACATTTTCATTAATCAAACCGCTCTTTATATATCTACAGTTTATATTCGTTAACCAATCACCGAGCGGGTGATTTTGATTTACATCAAACGACATGAAGTAGAATGTTCAAATATACATAGTATTCTTTTGTTAGTGCAGTATATAACCGTGAGAAATGTATTCAGTTTGACATCAAATCGAATGTTCAAACAGATATATTGTATGCAGTATTTAACTGTGGGAATATGTGAGCGTAATATTCCGTTCGCACACATTGTCGGTATGACACCACTGCACTACGTTCCACCCGGAAACCATGGTAACAATAATAATAATAGTAATAATGTAAGTGAACCCATTGCAAAGGCAAATAAAGTCTTGATGTTTGTAAACTGGAATTAGATGAGAAGCGTGCAAGTTGGCTGAGTGTCCAGTCTTGACGAGCATAAAAACCGCGAGGGGGACATGTAAGAATGATAACAGTGAACTAATTATTACAAATTGAAATAGACAGGTAGGGAAGAGTTTGGAGTTATGGTAGAGTAAGAAACTGGGAAAAAACTTTTTCTGCACACATACACAGACTTCCCGAATTGTACTGGTGAGTCGCTACCATCTCTGCCCGTTATACAAGAGCGTCGAAACCTTACACTCATTTGCACCATTTCGACTTATTATTATTCCATTGGAGTCCGAGTGGAACGTAGAGCTTCAACAGCGCATCTCCATTTCATCTTGTTTTCTATAGTTACCTTTAGCTGGAACCACGATTACTCATAAGTTCTCATCTCCCCTCCCATCTACATCCCGCGATCTCTTTCATCCCACACTTGGTCTTATCATATAGATACTTGTAAGGAAAGACATCAGTTTATAGAGAGCAAGCAAAGAGGAGTGAAATGATGAAGTCTTATATATATATATATATGTACATTGCCCGAATCGACAACAGTTAGAATTCATGGCTAACCGGATGAACGAATGATCAATGGGCTTAATTTGCAACCTGAAAGTCCTAGTAGGCTCATGACTAATCACTCTCTGTTAAACACAATCCCAAACTACTAAGAGAAACAGCTGTCCAGTATGCTTCCAGGTTATACAATGATTCTGTCAAAACTAATGTCGATTTGTCGTAAAATCTTCTTTGAAAGGAAATCTATTGAAAAAATCCTCTCCATAAGTTTTTATTTTGTTTCACCTTATTTCCTTTTCCACTTACTAGTTATGTAATTAATTGTATAATTGACTTCCTGTTTCATGTTATTTTAATTATGTCAGTGGATAAAATGCATCTGTATATATGCGTGACGCCAATCTTTCATGTCAATGTATCAATTTCCGTTCAGCATATTTTATATTACATTCTTTGTTCTCTCTTTTTCTTTAATTATTTTTTGCCATTGGACATTGGTCATCTCGCGATAACCAATTATTTTGTGACTATTGATCATAAATTTGAATCATTCGCCGCCATATGCATTATACCCTGAAGTGATTGCTGCTAATATTTGGTCAATAGCATTATATCACCATACTTCCTTGACTATCACTCCTTTGTGCTATGGAGCAGTTCATAAATATATTTATATGTATAAATATTAGATAGTTGGAGGCAGTCTGTAGGATGCACTGTTAGCGTGTCTGCACCGTTGGAGGACCTTATCTCAGATTCGAACCGGAGTCACCTAGTACTGCAGTCAGAGACGTTAACATTGAGGTATTCAAGCTTCTGACTAACTCCTTGTAGGACTGTGACTTTCTGTGAAACACTGATTTGTCACCGATGTATCCTAACCGATGTCATGCTTGTAGTCCTTTATGTTGGTATAGACTGAATTCTATGAAGATAGAAGACAGATTAGTCCATGCCGATGAGAGCAGTTCAACTTCATTATTGAAAAATAAATTACAGATAAATATTACCAGCCTCTGAGAGTTGACCCAACAAATAACCTACTATATTGGTTGCATACGCTCAGTCTCCTAGGTTGTGTGTACTCCTTGTAATTGACACATTCAGCCTTGGTCCATTTATTCCATCTGTCCAAGCAGGTTTAAGCCTTTGTCTAAGGCTATATTAGCTAGTATGGCCTATTTAAGTTGATTTTAGTCGCTTCTTATCAAATTTGTACGTAAAATATTTTTTTATTTTAAGGAAATAAATTTATTGGCAGTTTTGATAATTAACTACTGTTATTATTCCCGTACGCTGAGAGTGAAACATATGTAATCTCATTTTCATCTGGCCGCACAACTACCCACCCCCAGCTAGAAGACTTCATTTCCTCTTCACACGATCTCCTCAATTAGACACTTGGAGTCACCATCTATTCGGACTTTGCCTGAGGGCCTAAAGCACTAGCTAACTGATGGACTGACTTGATATTAACTTCAGACAAAATTCTGATCATGTCGCTCCAAGTTGAACAGATATGTATCATATTCAATCTACTTCGCAATTTGAAAATTAATTCGTGATTTACAATTTATACTCACAATTCAAGACAAAATTGTACCACAGTTTCCTCCGGAAACCGAAACTATTCAGATCAAAGTATTCATGGACATGGGTTGTTGTATGCCAATCACACAATAACCAGTAGTGC